GTATAGGAAATAAGAACCTGAGCTGGAGGGTAGAAAATGATGTCAGAGCAAGACCTGTTGGGCTATAAAAAGCAACCTGTGTCAGAGGAGGCGCTTCAGGGATTGGAGAGATTTTTGTAGGGAACCAGACAAAGGACCTGAATGGAAGTAGAGAGAGAAGTTATTTGGGATACCTGCTATGTGGACAGCAGCAGACACTGTGGGGTGGTGACATTATGAGGGACCAGGTGGACGAGTATGGACTACCTGTTGTGACTGATGTCAACAAATATATCCTTCAGAAAATCAAATGGAATACAGACAATGGTTCATTGATGCAACTAGCCAGTGAGGGAGCCTGCCAGCTTAGGTGAGTGGGAAAACAAAGGCAGAGGCAGAGTCTGATGTTGGGTTTTGAGGTGCTCTGTTATTCACTTTCTGTGTGGCTGGCCATAGAGTGGATGGAACTTTGACTTATTTCTTACCCACCCCACCTTATTTCCTCAGCCAGGCCAGGTCACCTGACACCGATGAGGAATTAGCTGTGGCTTATAAAGGAGGTGGCACAGAGTAACCGTGGTAGAATGTCAGACAGCTGGGGAGTCACAAAAAAATTCCCCTATTAATAACTCAATTTTTGTTCAGAGGACTGAGAACCATCAGTACTTTGAAACTTGACTGTTGCAAAGCAATTAATATTTAGACACCTATATATGCTTGATAAAATATTTTGAATAATAATTCAAACTTTTGTCTAAAAAAAGAATAAAAAATATTTATCTGGAACATGACTGAGTTAAGACTGCTATAGAAACTTTTTCTATTTCCTGATATTTTTCTGCTGACCTGCTTTAATATTATGTTAATATAATATTTTAATTTAATAGCAAACATATAGCTATAAACATATGCAAAACAAGTCTTAGCAGCCCTTTTGCGATGTGATTCTGCATACTAAGTTAGCATTGAAAAGCCAATCAAAGTGTATGGATGTGTCAGTAACTAAGATCAAAGTTCAACAGCAAAGCAGAACAGTTCAGCTTTATCTTTGGTGTATTTTAGGCAGTGTAGGTCAGTTTGTCTACTAGGAAACTTTCTTCTATCAAGTGAAAATCTTGAGGAATTTTCCTTTCTGACATATGTCCCTTGAAGAATAATTGTGTGATATCTTTCTTTGTTCCTTACCTAAAATTTCTGGTAGACACTACAAACAGGCAGCAAAAAGGGCTACTTACTAATCTGTAGATGACTCTACATTTACAGAACACATTAATTTTTGTCGTGTCATTTTTTTAAAAGTTTATCCAAGGAGCTTTTTGTTATCCGTAGAGATGAAATATATACTGGATATAGTAATGTGCAATGCATGTTAACAAGGTTTTATGTGATACTACAGCACAGTTTTAGCTTCTTAACTTTATTTTTTGTGTGTGTGGGAAGCAATAGAACAATATAAAGTGATTAATGACCTAAATATTTCAGAGGTATACATTGTTTTTATTTTCTGTCTACATATTGAATAGTTATAATCCTTAGCAGATTAAAACACAATAATTAAAAAGGGTGAATAGTTCAGCTGTAGATGCATACTGATTTGCCAGCTGTGATACCATTTTCATTAAATATTAATGTTTATATTTTCTAAAAATAACACACAATTTTAAAATCTTATTAATGTGTGGGTTTGTTTTGTTTTAATGTACTATAGACAACTCTGTGTGTCTCAAAAGCCTATGGAACGGAAAAGGGATCCACCAGGTGTTTTGAGATTCTAATATCACTGATAATCTCACTGCAGTAAAATACATAGAAAAAATAGTTTAAAATCCATTGGACAACATTAAATCATCCAGTGGAAGTGTTGTGGTCATCCAAAACCCAGCTCATTTGGGGCCTGATCCAAAGCCCATTGGTGCCATGAGAAAGCTCCAATTCACTTCAGTAGTCTTTGGATTAGAACTTATGGCCCTATCTACACTAGAATTTTATTTCAAAATAACCCCCTTAAGGTCAAATATATAAGTGGAGTGTCCATACTACTAAGCCTGTTGTTTTGAAATAACGGGCTATGGAATTTGAACTCTGTACTCCCGCTTTTCATCAGGAATAATACTAATTTCAAAATAGTTATTTTGAAATAATGGTGGTGTGGACGTATTGGAAATTCTATTTCAAAATAATTGACCTCCAGAGGTCTCTCGCACCTGAGCACTGCCCACACCAGTGGTCTCCACTGCTCTTTTCCTCCTGCAGAGCTCTCAATGTCCCAGTAAGAGGAGAAGAATTTCTCGCACATGGTCAGCTGCATGAGCCCAGTGTGAGAGACCAGGACGTGAAGCAGACATGAGTGACCCCAAAGCTCCCTCAGACACTCTGACAGCTGCCAGCACTTCTGCTGCTCCCATGGCTGCCTCTGCCCAGGGATGCAAGAGAGCTCTGACATGGACTGGAATGGAGATCCTGGACCTCATTGAGGTGGGGAGGAAGGAGACCAACCTCCAGGATCACCATACCAGGAAAAGGAATGTGAATGTCTATGGCAGGATAATCATCAGCCTGGCTGAGAAAGGGCACACCAGGGTCCTCAATCAGTGCAACAGGAAAAGAAAAGAGCTGCAGCAGTCCTACCACAAGGCCAGGGAACAGAGCAGATGCTCTGGGGCAGCACCTCAGACCTGCTGCTACTATGAGCAGTTGGATTCCATCCTGGGAGGGGGGGCCGGTCACCTCCCTCTCCATCATCATGGAGTCTGGCCAAGACATGCCCAGCATCAGTCCGGAGGAGGAGGAGGGAGAGGCCAGCCAGGCAGGCGACCCCAGCCAGTCCCCCACCCCTCTAGCCAGGACATGTCCCAGGCTTTCAACGAACCTGGGAGGGCACTTCAGGTGAATTCTCTTACTTTCCCTATCTACAAGTGGGGGAAGGCAATGGGCTGTGAGGGACTTCACACTCTCACACAGCCTGGGGGGCCACACGACAGCTTGTGCACATGGAGTGCCAGTCTGGAGTGCTCAGTCGCATGACACTTCCACACAGGAACCCCTCAGTCCTTTTCACAAGGCTGCTTGAGAGGCCTGTCTTATTCCGGCCTCAATGGTTGGAAACCTTCCCACGGCTAGCCACTACTGAATAGTCTGGGGTCATGGAACCACACAGCAGTGCTGCACATGGCCCAGGGTCATGCCCGCACTGAGGTAACATCCACCCCCAGTCAAGTGTGCTGATGTGGAGGAGACTATTTGGATGTGGACATGCTATTTCAGACTAATTTGAACTATTTTTGAGGCTTCCCCATAGTGAGGAAACGCTAGTTCAAATTTGTTACACTGGGAGTTAAATTGACTTTACTAATTTTGAAAAAAAAATCCTAGTGTAGACATGGCCTTGGAGAATTGTCCTTTGGGGAAAAATATTGAATGTCAGCAACTATTCATGGCTCCCAGCAGCTGAACTCTATTCCTCCTGCAAGCAGAGGAGGCTGCTGGTGGCCAAAATGGTCATTGTCACCATCCCCACATCCCTCGCTTCCCTTAAACTGCAATAACTCACTTATTCTTTGTGCATTCTCCAAAATTAATATGGCTGATCCTTCCTAACATCATTAACATCCTACCATCACTGATAGGTGTAGTACTGTGGATAAGAGTTTGTTCAAGTTGGTTGGTGATGTTCAATTTTTTTTTCTCAGATGTTAGCTCTGACTTTGCTATCAGGAGTTATAGCAGTAGATAAGAGCTGCCGAAATGAAATGTCTAAAAATCTATATTTAGATCAGCCCCCGCTCTCCAAAAGACAAAATTCCCCCCCTTTTTTTCTAAATGCCTACAGAGTAAGTATTACAGTATATCACCGTTATGTTGACGACATCTCTAATGCTTCCATTAGCCAGAACCTCATCTTGCATATGAAGCCTAGTCTTAGAATGTCTGTCAGGAGTCCAGTAATAGCTGTTCACAACCATGTGGTGATAAAACCTTAAAGGAAATTCTCATATAATACTGTAATATTTTGTTTCTGGCACTATAAGGACAGTTTCAAAGACATGGCATAAAAATACCCTCTCTTTTTGCACTCCGAAATAAATTTTATTCATATTAAGATTTGTATATCAGTTCTCGTGTTCTGTACCCTGGGAAATTCCAGCATCTCAGGGGGAAAAACACAAAGCAAACATTTTGAATTTTTTCATTAAATGAAACTTTAAAAAATCAATTTGAGTCTATTGAAAATTGTTTGTTATGATAGTGTCCTTATAATTCTTTTTATATCAACTTTTTATTATACTAGGATATTAAATACAATATGTACATAATAAATACAGTGTACCATTAATACTTAATACAACAAAAAAAGAATCAAAATTACACTGTTGAATTGCTACACATTGTTCCCACAAAAAGGGACACATTTCCATGAAATGTTTGTTTATTTCAAATTGTACCTTTTAATGGAAAATTACTCAGTTGGGTTTTTGCAGATAACCTCTACAAAATAGCTTTCTGAACAAAGCCTTGCATTAGATCATAAGGCTACATCTAAATTGCAGAGCTATTTTGGGATACCAGAAGTACCTCAAAATAGCAATTCCACGTCTTTAAAGCAGCCCTTTATTTCAAATTAGATTTTGAAATAACAGGCACATTGTTCCAGCATCTCGGTAACCCTCATTCCATGAAGATTAAGGGAAGTTTCAGAATAGTGCCTTATTTTGAAATTTGGCACTGTGTAGACAGTGCCAAATTTAAAAATAAGCTATTTCAAAATTACCTAGAAATAAGCTACGCAATTTGCATAGCGCAATTTGCATAGGATAATACTTCGATCATCTGAAAGTCCATAAATCATTGAGACTGTAGCGGGTGTTAGGAACAATACTTCAGCTTCATACTAGATAGGCTGTTGAAGAATTTGTTGTCTCCAGAACGACAGGGCAAGTGTGAGGAGATACAGGCTCCCTTGATATAAGCGCTTCCATATCTGTTTTGGAAATTACCCAATAACATATAGGGACCTGTGGTCTCTTGTGCTGTACCCCACCCCAGTAATAGGGGGAAGCAAATGATAAAAGTAAGCAATTTTTAAAATACGTAGATTTATGCTTTGGGGAACAATTAGAGGGAAAACCACAAACATTTGCTGAGACTATTTTACTAAGATTAATTTGTTCTTCTAGATGTCACTGCTCCATTCAGGAAAGTGAAACTGCAGGTGAGTTCTGCTTTCCTCCAGTTCAATTTAAATATAGATTATTAAATTGCATATCAGTATTTCTTTATTAAGTATTTATCTATTCTAATTAGAACATTTATAAAAGTGTAGTTATGATCCTTTGGAGAAAAGATGGTCTTTTTTTCTGGATTAATTCTAGATGTTGAGAATAGTACAGGTGCATCTGGTCTTTCTGGAAGAAAAAAGCGTGGATAAATCACTTTGGAACGAATTTTGGCTCCTGAACAGTTGTAGCTACCTCATCCCTTGGTATCTACCAGATTCTCTGTCTCCCCCCACCTCTCTCTCTCATTGTACCATAGCAGGGACTACACATATGTTACGAAAAATGTCTAGAAAATGTTTTTTTAAAGTATATAGAAGAAATAGATACACATCTCCTTTGTCTCTATCTCCTTCATGATTTTGCTGAACAATTAACTGATAAAGAGTGCACTCCAGCTCATAAAATCTTCTCATTATTTACAAATGTGCTACTTAACTAATGATTAGTCATTCAGGTAAACTGTAATTTAATGTGAATGGTTGATTATCTTGCTGCTAATGATAGAAGCACATATTTAATATTTGTGAGATATTCAAGAAAATGTATTTGATAATTAGAAAAAAATATTAGTGTTCATTGTGATGCTATCAAATGACTTGATTTGCATTAACAATATTAGGAGTTTGCAGTCTTACTTTTCATACATTGCTGCTAGATTGGAGATATTCCAGTGTAGAGGAAAAATAGGCAAACTATCAGTATGTAATCTTGAAGTATAGCACAATTACTTCTCTGAATCAGTTTTTGGAAGCCAAGGGACTTTTATTAAGACAAGTTATATGTAATGGACATAGCATCATTTCACAAGGTTCTTTCTCTCCAAATAAATGGAGCGATTCTCTCTCTCTCTCTCTCTTGCTTGGAGAAAAAAGGGGGGAAGGTTTCAACGTTCAAATCATTTTTCTGTATGTAAACAACTACGGAAATGAATTTATATAAAACGAGTGAGGTACCGAACCCAGAAACATAGATGCATTAAAAGGAATGTTAGAACACAAATGTAAGGACACACCTTTACACATGTGAGAATAAATAACAAACTCACTCTGGATGACCCATGAATTGTTTTCTTTAGTAGTTTACACCTATACATCTCTCTTCTTGTGCCATGGAAAATGCACAGGCTTCACTGGTTTACTAAAGTTCCTTCCAACCAACATCATATATGGTCCAGAGCAATTGTCTATATACATGTACTCCTGTGCTTCTGGCTTTGTTCTCAGAACCTGACAGGAGACATGTCTCCTTTCTCTGAGGCCTCTGTGAAACTTGAGTTCAGCTACTCCTGTTCTTTCTCTCAGGCTTCCTTCCTGTGGCTAACAGGCTCCTTATCTCACCCAGCCTGATTATCTAATTACCTCAATCAGCTTTCTGCAGGGGTGAGGAGAAACTAATTGGAATGCAGGCTCCCCTGATTACCTCTCTGCACTTTGCCACAATATCCAACTGAGACTTGTACCTCCTACAAATGAATGTTAGAATTTAAAGTACTTAGTGAAATACTTTAATATATTAATGTTACAGCCTTCCTTTTTACAGGCTGCCCTATCCCTTTAAATCAGTATTTCTCAACATGGTCATTGGACCCACTCTAAAAGAGCTGCTACCAGGCGGCTCCAGTTGGTTTACCTACCAGCTCCACAGCCATGGAGCCTTGCAGCTCCCATTGGCTGCGGTTCACGGTTTGCAGCCAAGGAGAGCTGCAGGAAGTGGCGTGACACGGGCTTCTTCCCACGGCTCCCCTTGGCTGCAAACTGAACCTCAGCCAATGGGAGCTGCAAGGATCCCTGGTTATGGAGCTGGTAAGTAAACCAACTGGAGCAGCCTGGTAGCAGCTTTCTCAGAGTGGGTCTGCAGACCAATTTGAGAAACACTGTTTTAAATTGACTGCATCATTGTTATAAGCACCATCATCATTATTTAGTTTATCTATTCAGAGATTTTTAAAACGTTTTCATGAATATGAAGAAATGTTTAAAAAATATTTTTTTTGCCTGCAGGAAGGTCTGTGTCCTGCCAAACATTTTGCTCAGTCCTCCCTCAACCTTTAATGGGAGTCTGGGACCATGTTCAGTGTTACGGTATGGGCAAAGCTTAATTTGTATCAGTCACGACTGAGCCTCAGCACCTCTGGCAGTTGATGGCCCTGGCACTTATGCCAAAAACCCAGAAGTTATGAAAGCAATTGCTTGAGCCTCTCTCATTACAAGTCATACACAGGGTCTCTCTCATTACAAGTCATACATGCCAGCCAGGAGCTGCTCCTCACCTTAGATCTGGTTCCCTCCCTCTAAGGATGTCTTCTGGGAATTGGACGCACCTGGGGAAGGCACTTTAGGTAAGTTTTCTAACTTTCCCTATACACAAGCAGGGTTAGGCTGTGAGGGGCTAGGTGCTCCTCTATCAGCTTACGTGGCCTGGGGGATGCACAGCAGCTTGCACACATGGAGTGTCAGTCCTTAGCACTCAGCTTCATGGCGCTGTCACACAGGAACCTCTCAGACCTTCTTACAAGGTGCCTGTAGGATCCTGCATTATTCCCGCCTCTATGATAGGACACCTTCGCATGACAACCCACCACTAAGGAGGCAGGGTCATGGAAACATACAGCAGTGCTGCACATGACACAGGCTCATACCCGTACTTGGGCAGCATTCGCTCCCAGTCAAGAGTGGCAATGAAGAGGAGTCCAATCCACTGCATGGATCCTGCTGTGGAGAGGAAGTGGACAGGACCACTGAAGCACTCTCTCTAGCAAGCAGCCTCTGCTGCTCACACACACCTCTCCCAGACACACATACCTCTGCTGCATAGTTGTTTCAGCAAGATCAGACTAACACGGCAACATCTCTATTACTACTCTCCCAGCGGGCAGCGATAGAAGTTTTCTAGAGGGTGCTGCCTATGCTGAACCCAACATGGGCAGGACACAGAAAGAGGCCAAGCTGTCCCATACCCTCCTCCTATCCACAGGTTCCTGTCCTGACTCGCACCTTCCCATGCCTGCTTGTTCCCAGGCTGTGGGTGAGCGATGCTTCTCTAGGATGTCTGTGCCCCTACAGGAAAATGCCCACTGTCTAGGCAACAGATGGCCTTGCTTGAAACACATCACCATCATCTGAACTGAGGCCTTCAGTGTCGGTAATAGATTAGGGTTAGGCTTCATACACAGTGTCTCCTGGGATGACAGCCCTTGTAACTTTTCTTCACAGCTGGGCCAGTTATGAGTGTGGTACATCCACCACCTCCCTCACTATCCTCCTGACTCTATGGGATCCACTGGAGGAAGAGAACTAATGAGGATCTTCTGCAGGAGCAGATGGCCTGCCTCCAGTCCCTACATCTGGGGTTCAACAATGAGTGCCAGGAGCAGGCCACTAACTGGAAGGAGTCACCAGGCTGACTGGGAGCAGTGGAAGACTGCATGGGTCCATAACCTCAGTGATTAAGCTATGGCCCTGTGCATGTAGTGGGCCACCAGCCACCTCCTTGCTCCACCTCCTGCCCCCCCTCCCCCAACAGCATCCTCTCCTAGTGCCCCAGAACATGGAGCAGTGGGACCTTGAGGGCAGTTGAATCTTCTAGAGCTGACTGAGGCAGGTGCCCCTCTCAGCCCTCTTCCTGAGCCTCCCTCTCTCATTTAAGTTCTTTTCCCAGCCCCTCCCTGTTTTATATCCCCCAAATGAAGAGACTTATTGTTTTTTTTTTTTAAAAAAAGCTTTTTTATTTGATCTGCAGGGGATGGGGGAAAAGAGGGTGAGGGGAAAAAAGGCACATGGGGAATGCAAGAGACCTCTTGTGGACAGGCCTGAAGGAGAGTGTCACAGCTGGCTTTGGATGAAACTCTCTCTCAAGGGCTACCAGATGAGCAGTGCCCTTGAGGTGCTCTCCATATGGCACTGGTGTCCGACTGCCCGTAAGCCCAGACCAGTCATTCAGACTCTGTCCCCAACATTGGCAGGAAAGTCTCACCCTCGCTCTTGCAAAGCTTGTAGATCACACAGCAGGCTGGCACCATGAGGGGGCTGTTTCACTCACTGAGGTCCAGGAGGATGAGGAGACTCCCGAACCTCTCTATCAAGTGGCTGAATGCACACTCCACCACCATGCGGATCCTGCTCAGCCTGGCATTGAAGGTCTCCTTGGTGGGATCCAGGCTGCTCATGTAGGGTTTCATGAGCCAGGGAAGCAAAGGATATGCTGCATTGCCAAGGATGCAAATGGGCATGGGCATGTCCATGTCCCAGACCCTGATGGTGCAGTCAGTGGAAAAAAGTGCTGGCATGCATTTTCTGAAACAAGCAGGAGTTCTGTAAGATGAAGGAGTCGTGCACCTTCCCCAACCACCTGATGTTGATGTCCATGAAGCAGCACTTGTGAGCCACAAGGGCCTGCAACACCGTAGAGAATTATTCGGTCCTGTATATTCAGGGGGCTAGGAGGGGGATATGAGTGCCATCTATGACCCCACCCTGCAGCTGGGGAAGCCCACAGTGGCAAAGCCATCTACAATGGTGTTGACCTTGCTCAGCATGATAACCCTCTGTAGCAAGATGTTGTTGATGGCCTTGACTACCTGCAGGAACACAGCCCTGACTGTGGATTTCCCCATGACAAACTGTTTCCCAACAGGGGCATTTGAGGCAGCAGGAGTGCCAAGACCTGGGTGAATGAGTCCTCTGGTCCTGCTTGGTCATTGTCCTGTTGGAGCAGCATGTGGGCAGTGTGGACGAATTGTGCCATGAGGCTCAGCATGAAGCCCATGAACCTGTCACTGCTTTGCAGCATCTATGGCTCCATGGTCTCAGTGCTGTGGAATCCACAAGGACAACCAGAACACACTGTGTTCGTTTGGTGTCCCACGAGGAGTTAGGCAACATAGGAGTGGCGTGTGAGATGTGGGCATAGAGAGGAGCTTCTAAAAGCATGTGTCTCAGCTTACCTGACCAAACAGGCACAGGAAGTGTCCACTCTCCTGGTGCCCTCCCCGAAGTGATTTCCGGGGCTCTAAATCTGAGGCAAGCTCCAATCAGTGTGGATGTGCTATTTTGAAATAATTTTGAACTATTTCAATGTTCCCTGTGGTGTGGATGCACTATTTTGATTTTGTTATTTTGGGAGTTATTTGTATTTTACTTATTTTGAAACTATTTCCTTGTGTAGACATGCTCATAATGAGGATGAAAATGAAAACTACTGTTTGGCCACAAATGAAAGGTAACTCAACCTTTGAAAAAAGTGCTCAGAGGATTTGGGAGCACAAATCCTGTTAAGCTTTCATTGAGACTTCTAGTCCTAAGTCCCTCAGGTGTTTTGAAAATCTTTGCACAATTTCTATTTTCCAGCTCTGCCATAGAACAGCCTTGAGAAAAATCACTGAATTGCTCTTT